AGGCGCGACTCTTTTGTTGTTTCCATGCCTAGCACCACGAAGTTGAATAGGACGTAGTAACCCTGGATTTTCACCGGGATATCTTTGGCAATCCCTACCAGATAGCGGACCGTTGAGTCGGCCAGCTGGAGCATCATTGGCGTTGGTGCTAAGTGTGTGAAGTTTAGCTTGTCAAACACAACCTTGGGCATCACACTAACACTAGCCCCTAGGTCACACAAGGCATGATCAAATTACTGGGCCCCGATTGAGCATGTGATTGTGGGGCACCCAGTGTCCTTTTCTAGTAGATGGTTGAGTATAGCTGCGCTACACTCTTCCATTAGCTTGATGACCTCCGTGAATGGCAATAGTCATTTGTTGTTGATGATATCTTTGATGTACCTTGCATAAGAAGGTACATGCAAGACATCCATTAATGGGACGCTTACGTGTATCTTCTCTATCATCTCAACAAAATGAGCGAATTACTAGTCCACGACTTGCTTTCTGTTTCTTGTGGGGAACAGCAAGTAGCTTGTGTCGATGAAGTCTTGCGGTGTCGTTCCTTCTTGTTCTTGGTCTTTTTGTGTTTTTGTAGATGATGAAGATCCCTCCTCCTATTGCCCTTGTGCATTTCCTGTTTTATTGTTAGGGTTCGGTGGATCATGAGTGGACTTACCACCCCTTGTGGTCACCGTATTAACTTTTTCAAACGAATTCTCGGGTTCCCCCGGGATTTTTCCTTCATTATTAATAGGAATAGCAGCAGCAATCTAAGCTAACTATGTTTCTATCATTTTATTAAAGCTCAATTAATTTTTAACAGAGGAAGATAGACTTTCTATTTTTTAGTTAATATTTTCTAGCATTTTGTCATTATTCTGTAACTTTTTAGTGAGATTTTCATTAATTTTTACTTGGCCTAAGACCAAGTCTTTCAAGGAAGGTTGATTCGAATTGAAATTTGAATTACCTCCTTGTGGGCGAGACCGGTTGTTCCACCCATTATTGTTTTGCTGTCGGAACCCGTTGTTGATGTACCGGCATCTTCGCGGGTTTTGGGCGCTTGTTCCCTAGATGTCCGACTTCACCCCAGACTTCGTAAGTCATTTGCGAGTCTATGGCCTGGATGGTGCCCTTCAGTGTCTCCTTTTCAGCGGCACGCTCGTCTAGTCTTTTCATTAGCAAATCCATTTTTGCGGCAAGCCTATCCAACTCCTTCACGGTATGCATGCCTTTTTGTTGTTTTCTTTCTTCCCCCCGGCTTTGATTTGACACCATCTTTTCAATGAGAGTCGTAGCTCCATCGATGGTGAGGGAAAGAAAAGCCCCTCCAGCAGCGGCATCAATGTGCCCTCTGGACATGCGTGTTAACCATCGTAGAAGTTCTGGAGCATGAGACAATTCTCTATCCCGTGGTGCGGGCATGCTTGGATGTAGTTCTACAGCATCTCCCATGCCTCGTTGATAGATTCCATGGAATTCTGCTAGAAGTTGGAAATTCTCCCTATCAGGGCATTGGTTTTGCCCATGGGGAAGAATTTCACGAGGAACGTCGTGGAACATTTTGCCCATGTGTTGACAACTTCCTTGTCCTTGTAGAACCACTGCTTCGCCTTCCCCGCGAGGGAGAAGGGAAATAGATAGAGCCTGATGCTTTTAGGTGTGACGTCCTTTATGACGATGGTGTTGCATAGCTCAAGGAAGTGTTGGAGGTGCGTATTCATGTCCTCACTCGACAAACCACAGAATTATTTTGCCTGCACCATCGTAATGATGTTAGTCTAGAGCTTGAAGTTTTCGATGCCCGTTGGCAACAGCGGGTCAAACGGGCACGTTGGCAACAGCAGGGATGGAGTAGTCGCGAGGGACTTGTTGGCCATGAGTGAAGTAGTGGATGGTGCTGGGGCAACTAGTTCGTTCGCCGGAGGAGTAGCGGCTGAAGAAGCGGTACGGGACATGTTCTTCCGTAGGATCGCCTCTGGATTTTTTATGTAGTTTTCCGGCAAGGCGAAACTGGTCATACACTATCCTGTTTTCATCCATGATAGGAGAAAACAAGCAGAGTTAGCCTGCATAAACAATGTCTACCTTCATGCATATGATCATGATCATATCCTACTAGATTCTTTTTAACCAGTGCCTTCCCGGCAACAGCGCCAGAAATGTTTGTTGGCATTTCTTAGCGCAATCACCAAGTATGGAGATAGAATCCATCCCTAGCAACAGCGCTAGAAATGCATGTTGGTATTTCTTAGCACCATTACTAAGATTTGGATAAATCTTAGTAATGCCGCCAAGGAACACCAACACGATAGTTCTTAACGATTACAGATAATATCCGCAAGCGCATGGATCTATCATTGTAGCATTTCACCCAGAAGTATTTAGGGTATCATTATTTATATTTTCCCAAAAGAAGACATGGTGTAAAGATTCTAGTATATATATGAACAAGATTACATGCTTGAAAAGTGAACCAAGGTTTATGACAGGGGTAAACATGGCATATTCAGGACAATGGACACACACTTGGGCCAACCTCAAGAATAAAAGAGAAACAAAGAATAAAAGAATGTCCCTAAATGGAGCAGGCTTGTTCTAATATAGCCATGCAAAGAATAGTTGATAATCATACAAATTACATAGTTAGAGCTATACCTAAGTATAAGATGGATGGGGAGACATCCGAGCACTGGTCTACCCGGGCATGGGAGGCTTTACGAAATCCTATTCGAATACCCGAATGTGGGGGATTACAAGGGACGGACCAGGCTATCACCACCTGCCGCCTACCCCTCAACCGTGGAGCACCATCACATCCGAAGGTTCCCGTGCACCCGAGCACCACGCCCATGTACAAAGAAACTACCCATATCCCCCCGGGACTCCGACCCTATGGATCGACAAGTATAGGACATGGGCAAACCTAAAGGAACGACAAACTGCCAACTCAACTTAGTTCTAATTCTAATCATATAAGTTATATGAATGATTAAGCATAAAGTTCTACATGTTATGTCAATAACATAGAAACTATATGCTAGTTCATATGTCAACATCATAACATACTCTAGTTCATAAGCACAACAATATTGATAAAATGAGAGATAAACTATGGAAGAATTCTTCATATTATTCATACCAAGATTCCTTTCTTCCAAGGAGCAAGCTCTCCAAGGTAGCCCTTGCTAGCTCCAAAATACTACTAAAGTAAAAAGGGTACTAGAGTGGTGTGAGGTGTAGAGGCTCCAAATGAGGTGTGTTGAAGGATGAGCACTACCCCTCTTTTTATATATACTAGCTAGAGGTCGGTTTGGCGGGAGAAAATAAGGAAACTAGCGTAAACCGACTCTAGGTGCATTGATGGCACCGCCTGAGGAAGCTGGGCATGGGCTGTGCCGCCTGGGGTGCGGGCACACCTAGGGTGCGGCTGCACCCTGGCTAGCTCGCTTGGCCACCGCCTTTGCCAGGTGGCCTGGTGGTTGGGCCTGGGCTCCTTCCTCGGTGGTTTGGCGCCCAGGTTTGCTGTGTAGGTGGGCCTTCTTCCTTTATTCCATTGTGTATTTCTGCTTTACGCTTTCTGAGTTGCGCCTTTTGATCATACTCCCCATGTATTTGATGTATATATCCTGCAAAACACTAAATTTTCAATACATGTGGAAATATGTCAATAGTAAATGCATATGTGTCATAAGTCTATTTATTTCTCCTCTTTTGAGACTTAATTGGTGGTCGGATTTGGTCGTTAAGAACTGCCAATAATATGTTAAGTTTTATTGTACTTTAGTAAGTTGGCCATTAACATATACCTTGAATAGAGGCGGTTGGTTTGCCTGTCTTGCAATAGTACATAGAAACGGTTTCTTCGTTCCCTATCGGGGTTGCCCTAACCATTTCACTTACAGAAGTGGTAATTTAATTCTTCCATGATATATCTGTATCCATTTTGATAGTCATTAATGCCGCTTGATCCTTAATCTAGCTTTGACTTATTAGCTAGAGTAGTTAAAATATATATGGTAAATTACCTTGTACTTTGGGAAAATATTCATAAACATATACCATTTGATAAAAGAACTAGGCTTGCTCATCTCTGTAAATCAAAAGTGTCCGCCTCTAAAAATGCTTCTTGAAAATGGTTATTAACAGATACCATTTGATAAAGGCAGTCGGCTTGCTTGTCTTTGTAAATGAAAAGTGACCGTCTCTTAAAAATGCTTCTTGAAGTAGTATAATAAACACATGGAAACCATTTCTTTGTTCTCCATGGGAACTGTCCTAATACCATTTCACCTACAGAAGGGTAATTTTATTGTTACACAATGTATGTGTATCCATTTTAAGAGTCATTAACACCCCTTGTCTCTTAATCTAGCTCTAACTTATTAGAGTAATTAAAATAGTATATGTTAAATTTTAAGGAAAATGCCTATTAATAGATACCATTTAATACAGGCAGTCAACTTATCTGCCTCTATAAATAAAAAATATCTACCTCCGAAAATACTTATTGGAGTAGCGTAATAAATATGTGGAAATTGTTTCTTCGTTCCCCGTTGGTACTGCCCTAATACCTTTTCACTTACGAAAAGCAGTAATTTAATAATTCCACAATATATGTGTATGCATTATTTGAGAGTAAGTTAATACGGCTTGCCTCTTAATCTAGCTCTGACTTATTAGAGCAATTAAATATATATGTTAAATTACTTTGTGCTTTATAAAAATCACCATTAAACAGATACCATTTGATAGAGCTATAAGAAAATTTGCCTCGTCTCACTTATGGAAGTGGTAATTTAATTGTTCCACAATATATTTGTACTATCTATTTTGAGATACCGGTTGTCTCTTAATTAATCTAGCTCTGTTAAAGTATATATGTTAAATTACCATGTGCTTTAGGATTATTCAAATATGCTACATATTACCGGTATCTAATTTCCAACAGCATTATATAATGCGGCGCGCGCTCATCCTTTCCTTACAGCTCAAGTGCACATCACTTTGCATCCATGGCTTCTCCTGTCCTTATGTTCATGGTCTTGTGCAGCTGCTACTCCATTGCTTATGGAGGTGACGAGAACGGGTATGTAGTTGTGCCAACCAGCTCTTTTGAGCCAGATGAAACAGCTGTTTGTTCCAACGCGAGAGGTACGGGTACTTACCATGTAAATTTGCCTCTAGTTTCATTTCATCTTTACGCAGCTTCAGATTAACCTTACTACATATATCACGCACTGTTTCAGCGAACCTGGAGCAAAACCACAGCAGCGTATGGTTGCCACTTGTTGACAACCAAATTAGGTCTAAATAGGCCAATGACATTTTTGGCCCAATCTAAGAAAAACTCCATAAAACGAAATGATAATAGTAACATATTGGTTTTCCTATAGGATAAGACCACCCCTACCCCATATAAAATAAGGGGTACATGTGCCGATTGAGTTTCCATCTATCCAATCGTCAAAATCAATCTACTCCAACCATTTACCCTCTTTTTCAAATTCCATACTGTTCATCCTTTGATCCGACGACCAAGGATGGTGCCCTAGACTTGTCGGCTAACCTAGGGCAACCCGGCGACGTCCTTGCCCAGATGGGGTCCCTCTCGGGCGAGAACTTCGACGTTTTCTTTGCTAGTTTGTCTAGAAACTGGCCGGTTCTTCGTCACGCAAGCACGTTGGTTATCCTTTTGTTGTTTGATCGTAAACCACTCCATTCTTCACCACGAAAGAGTGATATCCTTGCTGCGTTCTTCGGTCCATGGTGGCCCGAGCGTCTAAGGCCCTGTTAGTGTGTGATTTGGATCATATCCAACGTTAACACACTTTTTGACGACTCCACTGGGAAAGAATTTGCTTCGGCTCTACTTTGTAGCCGAATCTTCTTACCCTAGCCCTACTCTTCACTGATTTATCTTCTTGTGCTTGCCATTACTGTTGCATCTAGCCCAAAAGGCCAATCCCTTCTGGTTTTGACCCCTTGTGATCTCGTTTGCTATTGTGCAACGTGTTGCACTTGTAATTAGAAATTCAGCATGGTGGTCAAGTTCTAAATCATAGAGTACCTGGGTGTTGCATCACAAAACTACTACAATTACCCCGAGGTACAGCTTGCACATGCATTTTATGGTTATAAGAATTATTTTGCAAGTAATATGAACTCTCATGTTGGTGTTGCTAGTTATAATAGTAATAGATATGTTGCATCGGCTAATGATTTTGATAATGGTCCTCGTCATACGCATCCTGGATATTATGGTCAAGAGCCAGTGTCAACTATGAATTCTTTGAGTTTTAATTTTACTAGCAACATACAACATGCATATCCTTATTCATCGGCTATAAGCTCGTAATATGTGGTTCCACCACAAGACATGCCGATGAATCAGAGAATTGGCTTAGCCAATTACTCTCAAATTTCATATGGTGCACGACATACTAATAGAACAAAGGTTCTACCTATAAATTTAACATCATATGCAAATTCTAGTGCTCACAATTCAGCCTCATATGTTACTAATAACTATGGCCAAATTAATGAAATTTCAGCAAGGTATGCTAGTGCTAATTCTCATGATTCGGCCTCATATGTTGCCAATAATTATGGCTGAATTCATGAAAATTCAGGAAGGCATTTAAGTATTAATACTCATGATTCAGCTTCACGTGTTACTGGTAACCATAGCCGAATCAATGAAAAATTAGCACCACATATAGAAAGTTAATATTCATGATTCAGCTTCAATTTTAAAAAGCCGAATTACTGAGATTTTAAATGGCATGCCTTCTCTCCCTGAGCATGGAAGTATTAAATGGCACATTTGTTTTAATAAATTATATGATGCTTCTCTTACTCGGAAGGACAAATCTAATGAGTACTATCTTAAGATTAAAGCTGCTTCGGATATAAGCAAGAGTTCGGTTGACAAGACCTAACAAAACAATATCCAGTCCGAATCGGTTCCTTCTCAAGAAACAAGTCTAGTTGTATGAAAACAAGGGAAGCGCAAGAAATTGGCTAGACTTGATTTTTTAGGTGCTAAAGGGGTTGTGCGTTTATCTATCATTGATGGAGGTCAAGCACTTATAAATTGTTTTCTGGAGATGAAGGGCAATGTCATGCATATCAAGGACATGTACTTCACTGGCATGATTAACAAAGTACAAGGTGCAAGTATTTTACAAAATTCTCAATATAGTCATATTATTTCAATTGCTACATTAAGAGACCCATTGAGGAAAGTAATTTACTTGTTGATCACCAAATAAATTCATATTGCATCAACCAACATATTATCCCTTATCAAGAGGCCGATGACAATATTTTGTTAAAGTTAAAGCTTTCCCAAATGTTTATCTTGGCTTCTATATCTATGTGAGTTGTTTTACTTGTTTTGAATTCAGTTCATAATTGGTCCCAAAAGGAGATACAAATTTTGTAATTATCTTGGGTTTAATAATTTGGGACCATGATTAAAAATATTGCCCATGCCGATGTTGATTTTAGGATCGATTCTAAAACATCTAGCAAGAGAGGCAATTGCAAAGGTGTGGCCAAATGGATTGATGTCAAATCTGATCCCATCGTTTGCGTAACTTTAATGCCGACTCCACAAAAGAGTCGGCTGAAGAAATCAAAGTACACCTTTGACTTTAATTTTTGTGATCATGTCTTTGATATCTTGCTAAAGAATAATTTTATTAGAATGATTGATCATATTGCTTTGCCATCACCTCAAAGCTTAGAAGAGCTTACATATTGCAAGGAGCATAATTCATTTGATCATAATACTTGTAATTGCAATGTGTTTCGTCGAGTGATCCAATCGGCCAATGATAAAGGACGATTGAGATTTTCTCAAGCTCAACAAATGGACGAATTGGTTTCAATTGATTTTGATGGCAAACAAGTTTTAAAATCGGCTACCATTAGCCGATTCACTCAAAGCTCAAGGCTCAAATGCCCAAAAGAGAGATGTAGAGCCATTAAGTGAAGATAAGGTCGTTGTCCATGAATTAAAAATTGAAGATATCCTAAAGGAAAGCAAGGTGATCACAATTCTAGAAGACACTAGGGGCAGGAGAAATCTCTCCAGCCGAAGCAAAGGCCGATTTATCTCGTTGAGCAAGGAAAATCGGCTAAGGATCCTCCTTCGAAGCATGTCCATCAGGATGGGGAGAAAAAGGAGAAGACTTATAAAGGTAATGGAAAAAGTCTACATAACCCTCCAACTATTCAGGGTGGACTACTTCACCCCCAAACATAAAAGCCGGATTTTCTATCCCCTAAACTTTCCAAAATCGGTCAAATGCCCCCAAACGGTTTTGTACGGTGGTTTTGCTATAGTGACGGTGGTTTTGTCTTTTCCTTTTTTGTTTATTTTTGCTGAATATTTAAAAAATCATAGTAAATCTCAGAAAAATCATAAAATGGAAAATCTAATTTGTTGGACTCTACATGAGTAGATCTACACAGTGAACATATAATATGGTATGCTTTAGTACAAAGTTTTTGTTGTAGCTTTAGAAGTATGCTCTTTTCTATAATTACTTGGAATAATTCATAGTTGCAGCTTCTATGGTCCAATTATTGTGAAATTTTTATGGTGGGCTAATTATTATATGCTTGGACAATAGTAAAAATTTCATACTCATTGGATCATTTATGTTCACTGTGTAGATCTACTCATGTGGAGTCCAACAAAATTAGATTGTCTATTTTATGATTTTTCTATGATTTACTATGATTTTCAAAGATTCAATGGAAATAAATAAAAAAGAAAAAGACAAAACCACCATCACTGTAGTAAAACCACCGTCCAAAACCGCTTGGGGGGTTATTTGATCGGTTTTGGAAAGTTCAGGGGGTAGAAAATCTAGTTTTATAGTGTGAAGGGTGAAGTAGTCCACTCTGAATAGTTGGGGGGTTATATAAACTTTTTTTCTAAAGCTAATGGTGGTAAAGGCCGAGATAAGTAGAGAAGTAGAAGGCCAAAACTTAGTTTCGAGGAACTTTTAGCTAAATACAAGAAGGAAGCAGAATTCAATGTCGCTAATCGGCCAAGAAAGGTTTAATCATCAAATTTACCTCCAAAGCACAAGTCTCGGGAGTGGAATTGGCAAAGAAATAGATCCCACGCAGCAGCAATATATTCTTCTTTTGAGTAGCCAATTCCTATGTCATATGGACCACAACCCACATATTTTCATCCTAATTCAACTTGGGTTGGTTTGATCAAGAGGCACATGTTTCACCATACTTTAGGCCACATTATATAGACTATGCAGCTCCTAGATATTCAGAAAAATCATCTTGTAAAGACCGTTTTGATCAAAACCGGTCTAGAGCTCAACTAAAGAAGAGAGTGATGAAACAGGTTTACCATGTCAAGAAAGATGGGCGCAAAGATAAAAGTTTAGATTTGAATTCATCTATTGAAAAGACGATTACAATGGTGAAAAATCTGGCTATTGATGACAAAGAACTGAAAAAATTATCTATTGATATTATAGATGTCAAATTTGAACAAAAGAAGGTGAGAATGCCTATAATCAAGGAAGAGTTGCCACTGTCCAAAACAAGAACAAAATCGAGATGCTCACTCGGTTTATCAAAGTGGCAAAAGAAGAAGTTGGAGAAGCTTAGTGTAGAGAAGATAAGGGAAAAGGGCTCAGTATGGGCTCCTAAAAGGAGTGTTCAAGCTCCGAAGGATGATATTCAGGCAAGTGCTGCAAAGGAGAGACCGAGATTCAAGAAACAATTGCTAAGTTAGAGGTTTCCTCCAAATCATCAAAATTATTGGTCATGGCATCAACCATATTCTCTGCCAATACTATGTGGAATTCATTCACAGGTATACATGATTATCCCTCAGGTCCTTATTTTGATCCTTGGTATGGGTCTTTATATTATGGAGGGTTGCCAAATTGTTTTGCTTATCGATCATCAAGAGCTAAAATATTTTATTTCGGTTATGCATGCACTTGTGGATGAATTCATATGGCCGATACATATATCGCCCTTAGAACAAAAATGACCGATGTATACATCGCCATTAGCCACTAAGCAGCCGACGAGATGGGTATCGTTGTTGTTTGGTTTTTAAATAGTATTTTCAGGTTCATACATCATTCACCTGAAAACAGGGGGACGTTGACACTCAAATTGGGCCCAAATAGGCCCATGACAGTTTCTGCCTGATATAAGAAAAACCCCATAAAGCGACATGATAATAGTATCATATTGGTTTTCCTATAGGATAAGACCACCCCTACCCCTTATAAATTAAAGGATACATGGCTGATTGAGTTCCCATCTATCCAATCGTCAAAATCAATGTACTCCAACCCTTTACCCTCTTTTTCAGCCCCCATGCTATTCATCCCTTGATCCGACGACCAAGGATGGCGCCCTAGGCTTGCCGGCCGACCTAGGGCAACCCAGCGACGTCCTTGCCCTAATGGGGTCCCTCTCGAGCAAGAGTTTCGACGGTTTCTTTGCTAGTTTGCCTGGAAACTAGCCGTCGTCACGCAAGCACGTTGGTTATCTGTTTGTGGTTTGATCGTAAACCACTCCGTTCTTCACCATGAAGAGTAATATTCTTGCTGCATTCTTCGATCCGTGCTGGCCCAGGCGTCTAAGACCCTGCTAGTGTGTGATTTAGATTGTATCCAACATCAACAACACTAGTGCACCGCCACGGTCCGTGCGTGTCGTGGAAGAGTAGCAGCAGGCCATCGTTGGCGGAGACGCTCCCACAGAAACTGTGTCCGCTCAAGCTATATCACGAGCCGCAGGGCATCACCACGGGCACGGGAAGCGCGCAGGAAGACGTGAGAAGGTGGTCATCCCGGCCCATTTAATCTATTCCGTGGACTCGCTCGAGTACGTCGTCACCGTTGGCTTCGGCACACCTGCCGTCAAGCAGACGCTCCACATGGACACCGGCAGCGATCTGTCGTGTGTCCAGTGCAAGCCGTGCAACTCCGGCGAGTGCTCCTCACAAAAGGACCCCTTGTTCGATCTGAGCCGCTCCTCGTCGTACAGCCCCGTCCGCTGCGACTCCGACGAGTGCAAGAACCTCGCTGCCTACGGCGATGGCTGCAGCACGAATGGCACTGACAACCGGTGTAGGTTCGACATCTTGTACATGGATGGAAGTCGAACAGCAGGCGTGTATAGCAGGGACAGGCTAACGCTGACGTGTGTGGACACCCACTACGTAGAAAAAGGTTTGTAGGGGTGGCTGGTAACCTTCTGTAAGGGCGGTTTTGCCAGCCGC